GGGGGGGGGTGGAGCAGAAGAATAGAGAGCAGGAGTGAAGTGTGACAGACCTGAGTGGGAGGGGAGGCCTGTTACAGCTCTGCGCTGGGGTCTGGGCCTGGTCTGTGTGGGCCTACTTCGAAGCCTGGGACTCGATTTTTTTCCCCAGGCCCACAGAGGAGGGGCGAAGGGGTGGCCACTGCCGCACCAAGGCTCCTGGGGCCTCGTTAATCATTCTGGAGCAGAGGCCGCCATCGGCACGCTCCTGGGGAAGAGTTCCTGACCGCGGGCAATGGGTGAGACTGCCTGGCTCACGGCTACAGAGGGGACGTGTGTGTGTGTGTGTGTGTGTGTGTGTGTGTGTGACAGAGTCCAGGCCCATCCTTAGGCCTCTTTTATTCCGCCAGTGAAAAGGTTCAGCTCTCAGAGCTAGTTAGAGCCTGTGGCGCTCAGGCTGACAACATGCACATCACCACCTCCCCTCATTACCGCCTCCGCGCTGCACGCACCACCCGCGCCCTCTGCTGGATGCAGGCCGCAAATGCAGTCCGGGCGGCAGGGCACAAGAGAAGGAGCCGGAGGTGCGGGATCCGGCAGGTTCTCACAGGCGGTTATTAGCACCTGATTGGCACCCGGAGGATCCGCGTAACGAGGCCCGAAAAGTAATTAAGAGGTGAAACGGAGGGCACTGATGTCGCGTTCCTGCGCCGGAAGCTCGTTAATTTGCGGCCCGTGTTTAACTTCTCCGACGTGGCTATTCTGCTCCCTGACCGCAGCTCTCACGGTTATCATGATGATGATGATGTCATGGCTGATGCGTTGTCCTCCCCACCCCGACAGTGCTGAGTATCCGCGGTGTGCAGGAGGAGGACCCCCCCGACCCACAGATCATGCGTCTGGACAATATGCTGCTGGCGGAGGGGGTGTCCGGCCCGGAGAAGGGCGGGGGCTCCGCGGCGGCGGCGGCAGCGGCGGCGGCAGCGGGGGGGTCGCCCAACGATGGCAGTATCGAGCACTCGGACTACCGGGCTAAGCTGGCCCAGATCCGGCAGATCTACCACTCGGAGCTGGAGAAGTACGAGCAGGTACGCATCCGCCGGGGCCTAGGTTTCGAAGTCCCGGGGACCCTCTGGATGGTTGTGTGAAGTTGTCCCCCCCCCCCCCCCCCCCCCCGCCGGGGGGGGGGGGGGGGGGGGGGGGGGGGGGGGGGGGAGGACTCGAAGGAGCCTTGATTGATGAGGTAGGAGCAGCCTGAGTAATTACTCTGTGTCTGTTCCCCACGCCGGATTGGCAGACAGCTAATATCACAGGAACCCCTGGCCCTGACAGCGTCCCCTTGCCCGCCGGCCCCTCCTCGCCGGCTGGGTGTGCGCCGTCACCCGTGGTCCCTGCTTCGGCCTAGCGTGGCCCACACCAGGTGCTCACTAAACCCCCCATGATCCCACCCCAGCCTGAAAACATCTGCAGGTGCCCAGACAGCTCCCCTTACACCTCTGCCAGGTGATGGTGCGGGGGGGGGCGCAGTGGGCCGGAACCGGGGACCGGGCCAGGCCCGCTCCACGTGGCGGGTGTCAGCCACTCGCACTGGCCTCCGCTACCGACGCGATTAATCATTCATGCTGCTTTAATGAGAGCCGTCAGACTCCCCCGCCCCTGTCACCCCCTCCTCCCCCCCATAGCCACCCGGGCTCGACGTCGCCCTGGAGTGGCTAACGAGGTGTGGGCGTTATCTCGGTACACGCAGCCCCCCGTGTGGAGCCCCGATAAGGGTCTGAGTGTGGCCTCTACTAGCGGTGTGTGTGTGTGTGTGTGTGTGTGTGTGTGTGTGTGTGTGTGTGTGTGGTGCCTGCGTGGCGTGCTTCATTTGTGTATAGCATCTGCATGTGGTATCTGTGTGTAGTGTGTGCCATGTATGCGTGTGGTGTGTCTGATGTATAGTGGGTGGCGTGTGGTGTCTGCGTGCATGTTACATGTCTGGTGTGTAGCCAGTGGCATTTGCGTGTGGCATGTAGCGCATGCATGTAGCTCCTGCATCTGGTGTCTGCATGCAGCTGTCGGTTGCGTGCAGCTGCGGTGGCGCTTCTGCTCAGGCGTTTCTGCGTGTGCATGTTTGTGCTGGGAGGGGCGTGTTTGCTCAAACCATCATTCCGTTGTTTTTACATGTTTGCCCTGAGCTCTAGGCCCTGATATGGGAGCTGAAGGTGACGCTGCATCCGGCTCACGGCCTGACCTTTAAACCCCGCCCCCTCGGCTCCCCCCCCCCCCCCCCCCCCCCCTCTCTCCCCCAGGTCTCTAACTGGTTTGGCAACAAGAGAATTCGGTACAAGAAGAACATCGGTAAGTTCCAGGAGGAGGCCAACCTGTACGCCGTAAAAACCGCGGTGGATGCGGCAAATGTCTCGGCCCAGGCTAGCCAGGCTAACTCTCCAGCGACACCCAACTCAGGTACGGTCTGCGGCTGCCCCCCCCACCCTGCCCCACCCCGCCTCCCCCCGCCCTCGACCACGCCCACACACACACACACACACACATACACACACACCTTATGCCACAGGTGAAGGGTTGGATGTCTTCTTCAGCCTTCATGCTAAAAGAAACTCGCAAACTAGCTAATGTGCCTCTAGCCTTGGGGTGGAACGGCAGCGCCCGGAGGCCAGGAGGACCGGCAGTGCCGGTCCGTCACCAGCAAGGTACCTGCGGTTGAGTGTGTACTGTCCCTCGCGGTTTTTGGTCTTGCTCATCTGGTCCAGCCGGTTCCCACGCCGATGAAAATAGCCCTGCTGTAATATGCTTATCTCCCCGTTTAAGAACATCGCGCCTTGTAGCTCCGCTCAGGGTGGATGTTTGTCCTCCCTCTTTGGGCAGCCTTGAGTAAGTCTGCCCCCCCCCCTCCCCCACTCTGTTTGATAGCCTTCATTCTTGAATCGGACTACTTACCAGTCTCCGGCTCCCTCTTGTGGCCAGACTTGATGACGTTTGGTCAGGATGTTGATTTTCTTTTTGAGATGGATGAGGCAGACAGGGCTGCGTTCAGGCTCCACCTGTACTCGGCACGGTCTCGGGTACCTGTACCTTTTAAAGGTTTGTCCCTTTTGCAGGTGGTTTACGAAAACATTCAACCTTCACCCATACTGTCGTAGGCAGGTCGGGATTGAAACAAAGCGACTGCAACACACAGCCAGACACACACGCCCTTAACCAGATGTGTGTGCGCTCACACACTTACGGTCATATCACAGCACAGCTTGGTGCGTCAGCATGTATGACCTTTTACACACAAACACACAGTAACCTCTATTTGCTCAGGCTGCAGAAGGTGACAGGTAGGTGGCAGGTAGGTGACAGGTGGTGACTGGTTGTACCTTTGGCACCCCAACCCCCCCCTCCCCCTCCCCCAACCTCTCCGGACAGTATGTTCCAAAAATTCATCTCCCTCACTACCTCCTATTAGAACAGTTTCTCAAACCGGTCCTGGGGGGACCCTCAGGCAGTGCCACATTTTTGCTAGGACATGGGAGGGAGCAGAAATCCTGGTAGTGAGCTGAGAGGGAGCAAAAACATGGACCGTCTGGGGGTCTCTTGCGGATCAGGTCGAAAAACGCTATTAGAAGACCCTACGGTTTATTGGGGCTGTCCCACGTTGTCCCACCAGGGGGCGGCAGAGAGACGGGCATCTGACACGTGAAGAGCGCTCAAACCCCGTGAAGAAGTTGTTTACCTGGGTGCTAATTGCTACAAGGGCTTAATGCTAAGAGGGCTTAATTTCCCTGTCCTGTCACCAGCGCTCACTGGTAACCATGGTGATCAGAGGCACACCCCAATACTCAACCCTTGCGTGATGCAACCATTGTGCCTCCTCCCATGTAATTTTAACTTGAGCAAAAACAGAGAGGTATTTGGTAAAGTGGGGGGACATGTCTGAACAGGAAGGCTCCTCCACCCCCCAGGTGAGAAATACTATCTTAAACCTGGATAGTGACAGTCATGGCCCTGCTCTGTCTCACACTAACCGTAAGAGTCACACTGGAGATGAGTGCAGCAGGTATAGATTGGTAGCTGGGCTTGACCTCCTGTAGGCCCCTCTGAATGTGAGCAACCACAAGCACAGATTCACGCACTGTACAGTGCAAAAATCACTCTGAAATCGTGGTCGGAAGTCTTTCCCTGCCGTCACGACAGCCAGATGCTAAGTGGGCCGACTTGAATATTTGTATGTATTTGAAAATACTGTAACTCTCAGGTAAATCTGACCAGTATATGAGAAGATTCCCAGGTCAGGGAGAATGGTGGAAAGTAAGAAATAAGCACTTATTATGGGGTGGCACAAGATGGCGACTGCGCAGACTGCAGTGCAGTATGTTACCTGACTGTACAATAGCATCGCATGTCGCCCTTCAGCTTCGCTGGTTTTCTTCAGTAAGTACATAAACAAAACATTTCGGATACATAGTGGCAAAAATAAAACAAGTTTATATAAAACTCACTTTTAATCTGACCCCCTAAGTCCCATTGGTGGACCCCTTTGGGGGGTCCGTAGACCGCAGGTTAAGAACCCCTGCTTTAATGGGAGGGCTCCACTGTCGCCCCCTGTCTGCTGCGACTGGCATTTCTGCTGACGCCTCATTCCCGCCACACCCATCATCGCTGAAACACTCTTTGAAGGGTGAGCCTGCCAGACTCACCCTTCAA